AAAAATGGCACTTGCACCACCTTGAGGAGATGAAAAGAAGCCTTATGGTTATATGATGAGCACTTTTTTTGGCAAAACCTTGGACAGAGGATCTTAATCTGAAAAAGAAATTGCAGAAAGAAAACTGTGGTTTAATGTAAGGTAGATAGGTAGTACAGAGGATACAGCATTAAACCTGAGTTCAAATCCAGCCTCTGACACTTACTAACTCTGTGACCTTGGGCAAGTCACTTAACCCTTTTTTGCCTCAGTTTCCTCATTTGCAAAATATGGATAATAATAACACTTTCCAAATGCAAAATGGATGATTTTGATTACATTGAATTGAAAAGTTTTTGCACAAACAAAGCCAAAATAACTAAGATTAGAGGGAAGCAGAAAGCTGGGAAACAATTTTTACAGCCTGTGTCTCTGATAAAGGCCTCATTTCTAAAATATATAGAGAACTGAGTCAAACTTATAAGAATACAAGTCATTCCCCAATTGATAAATGGTCAAAGGATATGAACAGGCAGTTTTCAGGGGAAGAAATTAAAGTTATCTATAGTCATATAAAAATGCTCTAAATTACTATTGATTAGAGAAATGCAAATCAAAACATCTCTGAGGTACCACCTCACACCTATCAGATTGGCTAACATGACAAAACAGAAAATCATAAATGTTGGAGAAAATGTGGGGAAATTGCAACACTAATGCATTGTTGGTGGAGTTGTGAACTGATCCAACCATTCCGGAGAGCAATTTGGAACTATGGCCAAAGGCCTATAAAACTGTGCATGCCCTTTGACCCAGCAATACCACTTCTAGGTCTATATCTCAAAGAGATCATAAAAATGGGAAAAGGACCCACATGTACAAAAATATTTTTAGCAGCTCTTTTTGTGGTGGCAAAGAATCAGAAATTGAGAGAATGCCCACCAATTGGGGAATGGCTGAACAAGTTGTGGTATATGAATATAATGGAATAGTATTGTGCTGTAAGAAATGTTGAGCAGACAGACTTCAGAAAAACCTGGAAAGACTTACATGAACTAATGCAGAGTGAAATGAGCAGAAACAGGAGAACATTGTACACAGTAATAGCCACACTGCGTGATGACTAACTTTCATAGACTTGGTTCTTCTCAGCAATGCAAGGATCTAAGACATCTCCAAAGGTCTCATGATGGAAAATGCTATCCATATTCAGAGAAAGAGCTATGGAGTCTGAATGCAGATGGAAGCATACTATTTGCTCTCCTTTTCTTTTATTGTTTTGTTTTGTTTCTTCTTTCTTGTGGTTCCCCCATTGGTTCTAATTCTTCTTTACATCATGGCTAATGGGAAAATATGTTTAAAATGAATGTATAAGTAAAGCCTATATCAGATTGCATGAAGTCTTGGGGAGGGAGGAGAGAGGAAGAGAAAATTTAAAACTCGAAATCTTACGGAAGTAAAATGTTGAAAACTAAAAAATTAATTAATTATAAAAAAATAATAGCACCTACCATCCAAGACAGCTTCGAAGATCAAAGGAGATAATATTTGTAAAACTGGAAAGCACCAAATAAATACTTTTTAAAACCCCTAAACAATTAGAGCTATCCCAAGTTGAAGTAGCCTGCCCAAACTGAAATGGCCTTCTACCTCAGAGGAAATCAACTTCACCATCATTGGAGGTGTTGGGTAGAGAGGCTAGATGAACTGCTGCAGATGTTATAGAAGAGGTCCCTTGTTCAGTTACAGGTTAGATGATCTTTGGGGTTCCTTCCAACTCTGAGCTCTGTAAAAGCCATTTGACTTCTCTGGGACTCAGTTTCCTCATCTGTAAAATGAAAGGTCTTTAAATTCTCTTTCTGGATCTTAGATTTAGATCTAGATGGGACCAGAGACCCATCAAGTCTGATCATTTTACACTGAGGCACAAAGAGGTTAAGTGACTTATCCAGGGTGACACAAGTAGTAAATGACTGAGAGAATTTGAACCCAGATCTTCTCTCCCAGGGAGCTCTTATCCAGTACTCTAAGCTCCTTCTTCTAGCTCTAAATCCTCTAATATTATGAATTAAACATTTGGGGAAGGGAAAAGGCAAGGACTGATTCTCCAGTGGACAGCTTTCCCTTCAGTATCTCTTGGCCATACTCAGCTTTTGAGGGGTTTGCTGAGCCTCAGCACCTCAGCCTGGTGCCATCACTGCTCACAGAAAATCTGATGAGAATGTCCCAACCAAGACATCACCCATTCTACCCAAGAAGCTAATCTTGCTGTTCTGTGACTCATTGTGTCACTCTGTAATCCTTAAAGCCTCCCCTGCCAATGCTTAATCACATGATTAATTACATAATGATCAATCACACAATTCCCATGGACCCACGATGAAACATGCTCTCCATCTCCTAACAGAGAGACAATGGACTCAGGGTACAGATTCAGACATGTAAGTTCTTTGATATACCCATTGGGGGAATTAATTTTGTTTGATTATGCAATTTGTTTCAAAGGTTTGTTTTTTCCCTTCAATATAGGGAGGGATAAGAAGAGAAAATAGTTGTTCCTTTTTCCTTCATTAATTTTCCTTTGGAAAGAGAGTAGGATACAGTGGAAAGAGTACTGGAATTGTAGTCAGAGAATCTGAGTTCAGATCCTCCCTCAATTGCTTATTCCCTGTTCAGTGACACTAGACAAATCACTTAATATCACAGCAGCTCATTTTTCAGTGACAAGGAGAGGGAATCTAAGAGGATATCCATCAGTTGGGGAATGGATGAACAAATTGTGGTATATTAATATACTGAAATACTATTGTGCTGTAAGAAATGACAAAGGGGATGTTTTCAGAGAAACCTGGAGAAGATTTGTGTGAATTGATGCTGACAGAAGTGGGCAGAACCAAGAGAACAATGTGTACAATAATAACAATATTGTAAAGACTTTGAAACTCTCCAAGGCTTAATAACTCTGATCGACACAATGATTAAGCACACGAGTCCTAAGGACCCATGATGAAGCATGCTACCCATCTCCAGACAGAGAGACGATGGACTCAGAGTCCAGGTTGAGAAATAGAAATTTTTGGATACGACCATTGAGGGAATTAGTTTTGCTGAACTATGCATATTTGTTACAAGGCATTCCCCCACCCACCCACCAATGTGGAGAGAGGTAAGGAGAGAAAATAGAGGTTTTTTGTTAATTGAAAAAATTACATTAAAAAAGTCACTTAATATTTCTTTAGACTCTTGAGTAGAGCCATGAAGGAAGCTAAGGATTCCAAGAACCGGAGGTAAGGAAGGAGTATATTCCAGTCAATTTGAACAAACTCACAGCAATAGGAAATGGAATGCTAAACTCAAGGAACACTCAGCAATTCAGTTCTGATGACATGCAAAGTGGGTTCTGGAAAAAATGTGAGATAAATCTACAAAGAGAAGTTGGAGCCAGATTATTAAGGACTAAAATTTAGCCTGAGGAGTCTGTGCTTTATCCTAGAAGCAAAAATTTTAACAGGAAGTGACATGGTCAGATTCCAAGAAAATGCTAACTTCTTTTGGCTTGTATATTGAGATTTTAGTCATTAAAACCTATGTTTTTTTTATAGAGCAAAGGCCCTGAAGTCAGGAAGACCCGAGTTCAAATTTGACCTCAGACCAAATGCTTGACACTAGTTGTGTGACCCTGGGCAAGTCACTTAAACCCAGTTGCCTAAAAAAAATAAATAACACATGTAGCCATGTCTCCATCATCCTCACAATAAAGATAAAATCAATATTTTTAATAAATGTAATAACTAGCATTTGTATAGCACTCTAGGGTATACAAAGCACTTTATACCAGTTATCTCTGGTCCTCACAACCCTAAGAGGTAAGTGCTATTATTATCCCCATTTAACAATTTTTAACCCCACATCCTATAGTCGTCTTGGTAATTTTTAAAATTCAAGTTCAAAATCCTGCAATGACCTTTATTAAATATTTTTATGGCTGTAGTCCTCTATCCCAGTCTGGTCATTACAGTTTGGATCTGACTGATACAGTGGAAAGAGCTCTGAACTTGAAGGAAGAGACCAGGACCGTGAGAACCCCAGAAACTTACTTCATCTCTCTGGGTCTCAGTTGCCTTCTTGAAGGAATGGGACCAAATGACCTCTAAGGTCCCTTTCAGCTCTAACATTCTAAGATTCTGCAATTCTGTCATTCAGCTTATTTACTATCCCTCCCAGATTCTACCATCTGGTGTTGGCATTCCTCCAAGTCATTGATGAAATGGCAGTTGGGGAGATCATAGGCTATGTAAGGTCTAGGTCTAGGTCTCTCTGCTCCTGTCTGTCTCAGAGCTGTTCAGCCCAATCTCCTGGTCTCCCTTCTCCACCAGTAAGGGTGTCAGGTGAGGGAATTAGGCTACTCTTCCCTTAATTTAGCTCGAAGATAGGGTTGCAGGGTTCAGTTTCCCCAGCTTCTCCTTCCCTCTTCCCTAAGCCTCCCCTCTACCCTTTTGATAACTCGTGCTTTTGACTGAAATTTGGACTTCCTTCCTGAGGTCCAGGATTAGCAATGTGACCTAGTGACCTAGACTCAGCCAGAACCACAGCAGGCAGACCCATCTCCAGAGGAAGAGGACTAACTAGGAGCCCGTCAGGAACTGCCAGGTTTCTTACAAAGTAACCCCAGTGCCAGACCCACCCACACCTTACTCCACCCACAAATCATCGTGCGCGCACACAAACACACACACACGCTCGCACGCACACGACCCCAAACTACCACCACACTAGAAGGGTAACATCGGATAACGAAGGATAACATTGACCGAGGGAAATGACCAAGTTGTCCCCAGCCTTCCTCCTCGCCCGGACTGCATCCCAGTGTCCTCCTCGTAGCTCGTTCCATTTCTTAGAGCTACCCTCCTCTTGCTTTCACTACTTTACAAAAGTCGAGGACCGGAGCTGGGGTGCTGGGAAAGGCCGCCTCAGCCTTTTCTGGAGCGGCGGGGAAGGGGAGGGGCTGCTGGACGAAAGTAAAAGATAAGTCCATACTTCCCCAGTTTCTCAAGCTCTCACTGGTGGGGTCACGGGTAGGAGGGCGAAGCTGAGGAACAAGCAGGGTGTCTAGAGCTGTCTGCCCATCCAGTTTAGGCAGACTTCCAGGGGAGCGTCCCCCGACCATGGGTTCTGACCAGTCTAGCGCGGAGCCCGACTCCCCCATGGCCTTGGGTGTCTCCCGCCAGGTGGCCTGTGCCCTCCTGAGCTTGGCCTTCGCCGTGGGCGTCCCGGGCAACTTGGCCGTGGTATGGACAGTGTGTCTAAGGATGAAAGCTCCCCCGCCGACTGTACTGCTGATTCTCAACCTGGCGGCGGCCGATTTGCTGGCGCTCCTGACCGTGCCCTTCTGGATCTACGCGCTGGCCGGCGTTTGGAGCCTGGGGCCAGTCGTGTGCCGGACTCTGGTGTGGCTGGTAAACGGGTCCATGTTCTCCGGCGTGCTGATCGTCTCTCTGCTGAGCGCAGAGCGCCTGGTGGCCTTGGCCCGTCCTTTCCACCTGCAGCGCTGGTGGCACCTGGCCGGGGCGCGCAGGGTGCTGGCTGTCCTGTGGGTCGCAGCCTTACTCCTGGCGGCACCAGCCACGCTCACCGCGGACCCCAGCCACTGCCTGCAGCGCCAATTCTCCTCGGGCCAGCAGCTGGTGACGCTTCTTCTACTGGAGACAATGGTGGGCTTTGTGGGGCCCTTCACCATCATCGCCGTCTGTTCAGCCTGCGTCCGTAGCCATTTACGCAAGCTGCACCACCCTAGCAGGCGCCGGGCCAGCCGGATCGTGACCGCCGTGGTGGTTGCCTTTGCCGTATGCTGGCTGCCCTACCACATGTCCAACGGGGCAGCCGTGGCCGCCGAGCTGCTGGAAGCCTCGTCGCCGGAACTGGTCACCTGGCTGGACTATGCGGCCAATGTGGGTCACAGCATCTCGGCGCCCCTGGCCTTCTTGGGCAGCTGCATCAACCCTCTGCTGTACGCTTTCGCCGCCCGTCGGATCGCCAGGGCAGGGGGCTTGGCTGGCCTTTTCGCCCGAATGGTCCCCAGTTTCTACAGCGATGGAGCCCGTCAGGTGGCCAACCAGAGTTTCAGGGAAAGCGCCTCTGGCCAAGCTTTGGGTTTGAATGGTCCTGACTCTGCCTCCTAAGTGAGGCAGGTCCAATTCCCACGGACGCCCTCCTCTGTCATCTTCTCTCTGCCCCTGCGGTCGAGAGGTTGGGGATAGCTCTAGGCTTTGGATTGTAAATATTCACATTTCCATAGTGATTAAAGGTTTAGATAGGGCTTCCCTTACAACACGCTTAAGAAGGGGCTAGTGCAGATATGATTTACCCCCATTTTACCGAAGAGAAAATTGCGACGGAGAGATTTAGGAATCTTGACCAGAGTTTCAAGGCCATTAAGTGTCAAAGCTGGGATTTGAACTCAGTCTATTGACTTCACGTCTAGGCTTTTCCCCATTATCTCACCCTGCAGAAATATACATGGAAAGAGAGAACCGGGGAGACTGGGAGGAGGAAGGCCACCTTTGGGATGGGAGAATTCGATAAGATGAGTAGGGTTGGTGACAGGGAAAGAGTACTGCCCTCTCTCAAGAATAAAATTCAACATAGTTTTTATTTCATATTTTATTTTTCCCTTATTACATGTAAAAACAATGTTAACTTTTTTTTAAATTTTGAGTTCCAAATTCTCTCCTTTCATTTTCTCCCCCTCCCCCATTAAGAAATCTAGCAATTGGATACATGTGCAGTCATCAACATACATTTATTATGATCCTAAAATTGCTAGGCATTGGAAAATAGAAAGATAAAAATGACATCAGTCCCTACCTTTAAAGAGTTTACATTCTGATATGGGGGAGGGGAATACCACAGGTAGACAAGTATAATAGAAACCAGTAAAGGAGGCAAAGGAGAAATCCAGACCAAGTGCTCTAGGATTCAGATCAGTATAGCCACCTGTGGTTGGTTATACATTCCAGAACACCTATCTTTTGACACAGAGGTGATGAACTTAAGGTGCAGAATGAAACAGATTTTTGGACACAGCCGATGTGGGGATTTATTTTGCCTAACTGTATATTTTTAAAATGTATTTTTATTTTGTTAAATATTTCCCAATTAAATTAAAAATGTTTAACATTCGTTTTTTAAAAATTTGAGGCCAAATTCTCTCTCCCTCCTGCCCTTCCCCCACCCCTTGAGAAGACAAGCATTCATTATACCCGTGAAGTGAAAGTATGTATTTTTGTTATAAAGTTTTTGTTTTTCCTTTCAATTTGGGAGGAGGGTCTAAGGTCCCTCCTTCCCCCCCCCCAAAAAAAGGAGAGAACAGAAAGAAGGCCAGAAGGAATCACAGACATGCCAGGCAGATTTGCCAGGTACATGTTGAAGTTTAAAAGAAAAGCAAACTGCCCATCATGTAGACTCTGATTCGTATACAATCCCCTCCTGTCCTACAATGCATCAGAAATGCTGATTTGATATGGTGTTTGTTAAGTTCAGATTGAAAGACAATAAAATGGGGAGGGGGCGCACTTGGAAAATTTGGGGGAGGAAAAGGTGGGGCGAGTGTTAGGAAAGGCTCATTAGAAAAGTGAGCTAGCTGAATTGAGTTTTAGAAGAACAGATGGATTCTGAAGGGCAGACATGAGAAGAAAGTGCATTCCAGGAATGGGGAATGCTAAATGCTAAACTGAGGCAGTCTGTCTGGGAGCGTGAGGAGCAGCCCCGTACAAACAGGAATCATCGTGTCTTTTGTTTTCACCTTGACCCCAGGGCCAGCCCTCCAACTTGATCTCCAGCGATCCCAAGTTCAAGGCAGGAAGCAAGAGAGCTGTGGTTTTTCAGTCATTTTTCGTCTGACTTTTCATGGCCCCATTTGGGTTTTTCTTGGCAAAGTTATTGAAGTTTGTTTGCCATTTCTCCTTCTCAGCTCTTTTCACAGATAAGGAAACTGAGGCAAACAGGGTTAAGCAACTTGACCAGGGTCACACAACTAGGAAATATGAGACCATTTTTGAGCTCAGGTCTTCCTGACTTTGCCCAGCAGCAAAGAAGCCAATTTAATAACCGTTGGGGGAGTCTGTGAGATGGATGGAAGAAGGGCGGTCTGGCTGGGCTCTCTCAACTGGAATTCCAGCGGTCAGTATTAAGTCAAAGGCTCTAATACCTGAACTGACTGAGAGTTCAGACTGAGCTGCTTTTCAGACATGCTTCAAATTTAGGAGGGACAGCAGGAAGGTGTGAGCAGGCTGGGGACACTGAAATCATGCAGTATCCAGGACTTCCTGTTAGGGAAACACCACCACTGCCCCCTCAGCACACACACATGCACAAACAATTCATTTCCTGTAGCCTGGATGGGCTTCCTGGTGCCTGAAATGGGGCGAGGGTGGGGGGGTGGGGGTGGGATTCAGAGAAAAGAAACATTTTAAAAAAGAAGATGTAACAGGCAGTTCCTCTTTTGAGGCTTTTGAAGAACCCTGGCCCCAATGTGTCTTTCTGCATTGCCTCATAATGTGTCTACATGGCTAGCACTCATTCAGGAAATGGGGGCTTAATATTCCAGAAACAGTACCTTTTCCCTAGCCCTTCACACTTCTGACAATATAGCTTACCGATGAAGACAGCCTTTATCAGTTAGAATATTACCCACCTAAAGTAATGCATAGTATTTAGGGCTGGAAGGAAGTTTAGAAATCATTACTCTATTTTACAGCTGGGAAACTGGACCCAAAGAGGTTCTTGGTTACTTTCCACACGTCTTAGAAGAACAGTTTCTGTTATTGGAGGGGTGAAGTGTTACTCAGTCAGACTCCCAAATACTATGGAGTGATGGGGATGGGGGGGATTCTTCAAATATGTAGCCCTTGCACTCTGAAAGTAGAGAACCTATGCTCACGTGTTTTCCTTTCCTATGAGCAGTTAATGACAATTTGCAGCAGTCACAAAATACTTATACGTGGCCTGAGAAGGTAGCTCATGTTTGTGAATTCCATCTGGGGGAAGGGGGAAGGGATAAATTCCCTGGGCAGTATGATCCTAGAATCTAGCCTTCTACCCATCAGAATGTCAAAGATGAAAAAAAAAATCCAGAAAAATCACTTATGTTGGAAGGGCTTCCGGAAAATAGGCACACTAATACATTGTTGGTAGAGCTGTGAATTGGCATAGACTTTCTAGCAAAGCATTTTGGAATTATATCTCCAAAGTCACTAAATTGTGCATGTCTACCAATACCTCTAATGGGCCTAAGATCAAATAGGAAAAGAAGTCATATGTACAAAAATATTTATAGCAGTACTTTTTACAGTGGCAAAGAACTGGGAACTAAGGAGTACCTGCCTATTAGGGAATGGCTGAAAATTATGTTATATGAATGTACTGTAATGGAATATATTTATGCCATTAAAAAAAGTTACAAAAAGGATAGGTTCAGAGAAACCTGGGAAGACTTTTACAAACTGATGCAGAGTCAACTAAGCAGAACCAAGAAAACAATGTATATAGTAAGGGGCAGCTAGGTAACAAAGTGGCTAAAGCACTGGCCCTGGAGTCAGGGGGAGCTGTGTTCAAATCCAGCCTCAGACATTTATTAGTTGTGTAACCCTGGGCAAATCACTTAACTCATATTGCTTCCCAAAAAAAACCTCCCAAAAAACAATGCATATAGTAACAGCAACTTGGTAAAGAGTTGAGATCTCTGATCAATGCAGTGACTAGCCATGAGTCCAGAGGTCTGATAATGATCTATGTTATTTCTCTCATGAGAGAGAAGTGATAGATGCAAGATGCAGAATGAGACAAACATTTTTGAACATGAGAATTTGTTTTGTTTGACCATACATATTTGTTGCAGAGATTTTATTTTTTTCCTTTACAATGAGGACAGAAGGTAAGAAAACAAATGTTTGTTAATTGAAAAATAAAATAAAATTTTAAAATTAGAGAATAAAATAATCTAACCCTCCAACCAGAGAGGGAGATTGAACTTCTGGGCAATAATGGGTTTGGAAATTGCCTCATAAGTAACTCCAAGTTCAAAAGTCCTCAAACTTGAAAGTTCAATGATCAGACCTAAACTAATAAATTACGCACCCAATGTAAATCTAGACCTTGAATTTTAAATTCTTTAAATGGCTAACTGTTCTGTCAGTGAAGACTAATTAAATAAATAGGAAAGGGATTGCTTGATGAGAAGCCTCCAAAGTATGTTTATCTTCCAGAGGAAGTCTAAACTACAGGGTGGTACTATCTGGCTTGAGGAGACCATATAGCACTCTGGGGAGGAGGGGAGGATGCTCATTGTAAAGTCTAAAATGGCAACCTCAAGTTCAGTTCCCTTCTAGGGGACTTGATTGGTTGTTTGAGTGCTGTATATATTTTCTTTATCTATTTATGGGCTCCTATGGGTTCTTTTGTTTATTTTGTTGTTGTTGTTTTTAGTATTTTGCATTTTATGTATTTTCTGTGGTTTGAAACAAAAGTAGTCCTGTACCAACATGCAATTGATACCTTGGGTGCTTGTACAGGAGATAAGGACCCCTTTTACCTACATTTGGAGAAACAGACAAGAGCTACATAGCTTAGGTGTTAAGATATTTTCTTAGATGAATTTCAGGAGAGGAAATGAGCCAAAGAGAAATTGACCCACTTAAATTTGGCTCCCAGGATTGCAATTGGGTCTTTGTCATTGTGTCATGGCAGCATTCAGTTTTGAGAATTCCTAGCTTTCTTAAAAGCCCAAGTCACCTCCTAGTTGAGACCTTTTCTGATTGTCCTATTCAGTAATGTTTTTTCTCTCTCTCTCTCTCTCAATTACTTTGTATTATTTTTTATTTTCCTGTAAATCTATTTAATTGTATATGTGTTTTATCCCATATCCCTCAGGAGAATATACAATCCTTGAAGGCAGAGACTTTCCATGTTTGTCTTTGTATGCCCCAGCACCTAGCACAGTGCCTTGAATACAGTAATGTGAGAAATGATTATTTCTCTCAGGTATTAATAACTAATTATTGTATTATGACCAAGGTTTTTCCCTTTTCTGCTTCCTTCACCCAGAAATCAACCTGTGTGGGACACCTCTCTCAAAGATTTACCCAGGCCAAGATTTATTTAATCAGACAATAAAAGAAATTCTAAGTTTGGGCTAATGGGTGCATTCCTGTTCATTGTGTTTGCTCAGATTGGTCTAGGAAAATGTGGGTCCTCCCTTTTATCAGACAGGTGATATGGAAATTGATAAGTCTCTTTGACCAAAATTTGAGTGATCCAAGTCACATACCCCAAGATGTTCATTATAATATAGCCCACTCTCTCATTGTAATATTCATTTTCTCATTAATTGTTAGCCAATCAGAGTTGATTGCCACCCCCAGGAACATCTACTCTTCCATGGGAGTATAAACTGTGAGCCTACCACCATGATTGCCTTTGGTCTAAGAGAGATGACTAAATGACCATCCTTTTGTTAAAATGCTGGTATTATTAATAAAATGATTAAATTACCCAGAAACTATGCCTCTCAAACTTTTTAATCATCATAGCAGGCATGTAACAAATTATTTCTTGAATTGACCAGAAGACACAATTTAGACTGGGGGAGTGAAACTAGAGACAGCTTCAAGTCTGACATGTTTGAAAGTATGCCAAGCTAAAAAGACTAGACAGGACTCATAATTACATATTTATACATGTTTCTACTCTGAAAATGCCACACAGTAAAATGAAGTATTATTTGCCCTCTAAACTACTGACTTTTGTGCTTTGTAGCAGAGGAAATGATTGGAGGGGGGAGGGCGGGCGGTGTCATTCTGCAATTTGATTTTAGAGGTCTGGATCTTGATGCAAAATCACCTGAGCCCCCTCTGATGATTAAGACAGGAAGTTGTCCAAGAGATAGTGACTATCAAGGAAGATTTCTATTCTGGGGACAGCCCTGGCCCTTTTTGTATCACAACCTTGTTTCTTTAATTAAATTTATTTATTTATTTATTTATTTTCCCCCAGTTACATGTAAAAACAATTTTTAACTTTCATTTTTAAAACTTTGAGTTCCACTATTCCCAAAAAAGCTGTAAAAATGTGCATACCCTTTGACCCAGCAAT